CTGCCCCTACCCCTGCCCCTCCCCCGTCCCCTTCCCCTTCCCCTCCCCCGACCCCTGCCCCTCCCCCTGCCCCTCGCCACGCTAGCCATAGACGTGAGGGGGAGGGGGGGCTCAGGAGCCCAGGGGGAGTGAGCAAACGGCTCTGGCTGGCCAGTAGCATCCTGCCACATGGCATCCGCTCCACGCACCCCATACCCCCCATGCCCTCCATGCACCTCGTGCCCCCCATACCCCCCATTTGCCCCCGCCCCCCCCTGCTTCTCCCCCCACGCCGCCGCCACCGCCCTCTCCTTAAACGCCGTCACCGCCTCTGCCGCCGCCCGCACCGCCGCTGACGCCGCCCGTGCCACCACGGCCGCCGTCATCACCTGGGCGGCAGCCACCCCCGCGTGGTCCCTCCTGTTGACCAGCTCCTCCAGCTCCCCCGGCCATACTTCCGCCCACGCCACCACCGGGCGCTTGCTCATCGACGACCCTCCCCTCCCCCTCCTCCTCCTCTCTCTTCCCCGTCGCCAGCCATCTCCTCCCCATCCGACCCATACGCAGGGACGATCTCCACTCCTACTAGGTGCCAGCTGCGCCCCCTGCCCCTCCCGCGCCCGCGCCCCCTGCCCCTCCCCCTGCCACGCCCCCTGCCCGGATGGCTATCCCCGGTGCGTCCCAGCCCTCGTCGTCGAACACCCCCATCCCCCCATGGCCATGCAGCGCCAAGGGGCCCATGCCCATGCCCATGCCATAGCCTTCCATGGGCATGGGCATGCCGTCCATGCCCATGTGCATGGGGTACTCGCCACCACCCATGGCGCCATACGCGCTGGGCACCATCATACCGCCATCCGCACCCATGCCCCCTCCCATCTCCCCCATCCCATACCCCTCCCCGCCTCCAGCCCCCCCATAACCCCCATACCCCCCATACCCGCCGTACTCCCTGCCCCCGCCATACCCATACGCGGGCATGCTGCCGCGTCTGCCCCTGCGCCCCCTGCCTCTCCCCCGGCCTCTGCCCCTGCCTCTCACGCCGTCCGGGGACACATAGCTGCCGCCGCCCGCTGCCGCCCCGCCGCCGTCCATGAGGAGGGCGGCAGGGGCGGCCTCTCTGCGCCTGCGCCAGGCGTCGGCCACCTCAATCCAGCGCTGGTGGTCGGGCGAGCCAAGCTGCGACGGCACGGTGGCAAACACCAGGTCTCGAAGCTCCTCCTCCAGCGGCTCCTTGCGACTGTTAGAGAGGTGGGGTGCAAGAGTAGGGAGGGAACGCAGGTGATGACACGAGGCGGTGAAAGCACGGGATGAGATAGCACGGTGGCACACACCAGGTCTCGAAGCCCCTCCTCCAGCGGCTCCTTGCGACTGCCACAATGGTGGGGGAAGAAGAGCAGGGGAGAGAAAGCAGGCGGTGAGCGCACGGGACGAGATATTGGTCCGGCGTGGTCTTGCGAGCATTGCTAGGATGGCCCTGTGGCAAACACCAGGTCCCACAGCTCCGCCTCCAAGGGCTCCTTGCGGCATGGGCGGCATGGGCGGCATGGGCAGCATGGGCAGCATGGCAGGTTGTTCACAACTTTACGACCACATCTCCCAGCACGCACCACACTGAATCGCATGTCTCTCCACTCACAAGATGCGGCCGTAGAAGAGGATGTGCGCCTCGATCTGGTCCAGCAGCATGGGCAGGACGGCCAGGTTGCCCACGGCAGGCGACGGCACCGGCTGCGGCAGCTGCGACTGCAGCACTACCCGCTCCGCTGCCTCTATGTGCGCCGCCACTGCCGCTGCCGCTGCTGCTGCGTCTGCTGCTGCTTCCTCTTCCCCCTCACCCCCTGCTGCTTCTGCCCCCTCCGCACCCGCCGCTGCTGCTCCCACCTCCCCGCCTGCTAGCTCCAGCTGTCCTGCAACCGGCACCAATGCGCCCCCCCTGCCCCTTCCGCTTGCATGGGAGAAGGAACAACCTCGCCCGCTCCCCCTCCCCCTGCCTCGTGCACGTGCGACGGCCCAGCCGCTGCTGCCTCCTCCCCTTGCTGCCCGTGTGGCACTGTCTCCATCCCCTGGGCATACACCACACCCCCCTCCCCTCTGCAGATGCTCCGTGTGCTACTTCTGATGCTGTCGCCATGCCCCCCTCACCCTCACCCATTCCCTCTGCACTCATACCCCGCTCACTCGCTCCTGTAGCCATCTCCCCTTCGCCAACTGCAGTAGTGGTAACCACCTCGCCTTCGCCCACTTCAATCGCCGTGACAGCCTGCCCCTCGAGTGCACCGTCTGCTGCCACTGTCTCGACTCCGCCGGCGCCGCCCACAGCCGCCTCCTGCTCTGCTACAGCAGCCTCATGCCCCGCTACAGCCCCTTCCTGCCACGGCTCACCTGCCTCCTGCTCGGGTAAAGCCGGCTCCTGACCCGCTGCAGCAGGCTCATTTGAGGCAGGCGCCATCTGAGCATGCTCTGCGCCCCTGCTTGCTCTGCGCGCTGCACGCGCTCGTACTGCACTGACGAGTCGATATAAGCAGCTTCGTGGTGCACAGGTTCCTCGATATAAGCACTCTCCTGTTGAGTCACCTCCGCTGCTTCAGCCATGTCCACGTCAGCTCTCGGCTGCTCCCCCTCTGCCAAGCCTCCTTCCCCATAAGCCGCAACACCAGCTATTTCCTGCTGCACTATATGAGTCCCCCCATCTCCACCCATCTCTTGGTACTCAGGAACGGCCTCCCGAGCCTGCTCCTCCATCCCGACCTGCGCACTCTCAGGCTCGGCAACACCCAAGCCAGAACCAGCCTCGGTTCCTGGTCCGGTCCCAGGTTCGGCCGCTGGTTCGGCTTCAACTGCCGTCGCCTCGGTTATCATGACCGCAGCTGAACCGCCCCCAGACCCACCGGCGTCCATGTTCAGATCAAACCCCTCGCCTTGAGCCACAGGCGCTTCAGCCACCTCTCCTTCAGTCACCACTTCTTGAGTCACACTTTCATAAGCCACCGTTTCTTCCATCCCTGCTTCTTTAGTCACAACGGCTGCAGTCACACTCTCGGCAGTCACATACGCCTGATTCCCGTCAGGCGCTTCAATCCCCATGCCTGCATCAGCATCCGTCCGAAGCGCCAGGGAACCATCCGTCTGGTTAGTAGCTTCATAATTTTCTTCCCCCATCTGGTCGATCTGCGGCGCCAGCGCGAGCTCCGTCTCGTGGCGCGCCGCCTCGAGCATGTCGTCCAGAAGGTTCTCCGCGTCTTCCATGCCGTCCCGCGCCGCCTCCACTGCTACAGCCTCGGTTTCGGGGAGCGCGCCTGGCGGGAAATGCTGGTTCGGGTCTTCCATGATCGATGATTAAAACCGAGGATACCGGAAACTTTCGACAGTACCACTGGTAGACTCGATACGAGCTGCGCACGGCACGCAAAAGCGCAATGGAAAATTGCTGCGTTTTTAGTATACAGTACGTAATGATGTCAGGCGGGCCGGTATAACGGGAGGCCAACTGGGGCTGGGAAAAGAGACTCGCGAATAGCGAATAATGGGAGAACAACCGTTCGATTGAAAAGTAGGGCGTGCAGAGAAAGAAGAATTGCACCGTAGTCGTGCATGTCAGAAAACGAAGCGAGACGAGCCCCGCGCTCTCAGTCGCGTACGACCTACTACTCACGGCTTACGACACTGACGTCAAATACGTAGTCATGCATCACAAGACGTGCTTCTCACCTGTGGAGCAGTCAACGTAGCAAAGCTCGAAAAAAGGGGTGACGATCACACCCGTCTAAAGCTCTGAAAGATGGTCAGCGTTGTCCCTCAGTCGCACCTAATACTGCAGCCGAGCCCGCGGTGTGACGAACGAAAGACTACATTAACTCGCTTACATGAAACCCTAGCCTGCTAACTGGACCTTGTGCACAGAGGAGCTATATTTGTCCTCACAATAGGAGCCAGCAACGCGAGTGGCGGCAATGCGGGCTCGAGTCGGGGGGGCCGAAACAATTGAAAGGGCTGCCTGCCTGAAAGCAGAGAGGAACGAAATCGAAACTCGAGGGTCTATGCTGACAGGGGTCTACTGATTGGCCGCTCCTGAAAACTGCGACCAGTCGGCCTCCACCCGCGTTCTGCTGCGTCATGCGCCCAAACCTGATTCAAAGTGCGACACTTACGTAACTAATCGCAATTTGAAACAGGCTCTTCCCCATGAACGAACTGGAAGCTTTCAATGTCTGAATTTTCAAACGTAGAAACTGACTTGTGAATAACTGATACGCTTCTGTGTTACCTTCCCCACAGGGCTGTTTGAGTCCGACTGTTACATTACAAGCCCAGGTACGAACAATTTTACTTCCAATGAAGGTGCGAATTGCAAAAAATGCCAATTAAATATTATGCATGGTTTTCATGAAATACATATGGAAGCTGTTCTAGAATTAATAAGTTGTACAAATCACTCTTCGGAGACTCCCTTACCTGAAGGAGTCGGACCAGTCTTTCCCCTAGTGTCTACGGTGTGCGCAAAATGCACTATCTTGCCATCACTCATCACCCCCCATGGCATTTGCAGTGCCCTCCAAGAAAGAGGGCCCCCCCTTGCTGCCAGTCCTTGCAAGGCTATTGCTGCCAGAGCCCAGCGTGGGCGGGGTGTGGGTGCCGCCCAGGCCACTGTTCTTGAGCTCCCTGGCTGTGATCACATACGCCACGTCAGGGTTGCTGCCCCGTGATAGCATGATCTCCAGAAGCAGTGTGCCGCCCAGAATCCGCCGTCCAATGGCAGGCATCCTCAGGCCGTCGCACACAAACACCTCCAGCCCTGCAGTGTGGTGTAAGAGTGAGCGATTCAAAAGGTATGCATTGAGGACATGGGGTTGCGGAAGAGACGGAGGCAGCACACATTGGATGGGCTTGGGAGATGGAGGAGTTTAGGGAAGAACAAGTGGCTGTGTAAGGGCCCAAATGCAAGGGGGGTTGGGATGAGCTTGGGAGATGGTGAAAGGGGAAGAGCAAGCGTCATGGATGTGTGCCCTAAGGCAGGCGTTGTGTGGGGGGATGGGACGGGGGATGGGATGGGATGGGATGGGATGGGCTGTGATCTCCACCTTGGTCGGCGAAGTCATCTCGGCCGTCCACGCTGATGAACAGATCCGCCACGTGCAGATTCTCCGGCAGCATCTCCGCCCCCCCAAACGCCCGCCCACTGCCATCCCCCAGCCCCTCGATATCCGTGAACCCAAACAGCAGCCTGGCAGGCCCGGTTCAGCGAGCTGATCCCGCCCATGTCATCCACGCCCAGGATCGCATCCCCCGTGCCCTTGAGCATGGCGCGCAGCCGCTCCTGCTCCTCGCGGCTCCCTGCGCCGGCTCCTGCAGCGGCGCCACGATCTGCGCCACGGTCTTGGTCATTGGCTGGATCTCCATCAGCAGCGTCTCCTCGTACCCCTCCTTGCGGTTCGCCACCCGCAAACATGCCCACCAGCTCCGCGCCCGCGAAGAGCGGCACCCCGAGGAAGGTGGAGACGCGCTGGTGGCCGGGGGGAACCCCGACGGCGCGCGGGTCGTTGGGCACGTCGTTGCTGATGACGACGTCGGCCGTGGTGACCACGCGGGCCGAATAGGGTTTCCATGTTGGAGAACACCAGGCCTGAGGGCGCGTTCTCCGCGTACCACAGGCGCAGCTCGCGCGTCCACGCGAAGTTGGTGATGCCGTGGGTCTGAGGGGTTGGGGGGGAGGGGAGAAGGAGAATGGGGGTCATGGGGCACACCGTTGCTCACAATGACGCGGCCGAAGAGGGTCTCCATGTTGGAGAAGAGACGCCAGGGATGACGCGCCCATGCAAAGTAGGTGATGCCGTGGGAGTGAGAGTTATGGGTCGAGGAGAGGGAGGAGGTTGTTTGTGGAGGGGAGAAGGGAGGAGGGGGGGGATAAAGGAGGGAGTGAAGTGGGTGCGATGGTGGCTTTGAATGGGAGCAGGCGGAACGTGGGTCTGAAGAACAGTGGTGGTGATGACCTGATGTGATGAGCTGATGTGATAAGCCGATGTGATGAGCTGATGTGATGAGCCTGCATATTCTATTTGTAACTGACTGGTTTTATCAGTTATAGCTGCTGGTTGGATGTTTTAATATTGTAGCAATTACCTCCTGGCGTCCGGACAGATGTGTAAAATACATTACATCTCCCCATGCATGCGTGACTCCATATTGTCACCCCACGTGCGCAAGAAAGCCATGAGCCGTTCGCGTTAGGGCAGCACCCGCCTGCTGCTGAGGTGACTTTGGAGTCGACTCAAAAGTCACCTCGAACGCCATGAGCCGTCCACGTTAGTGCAGCACCCGCCTGCTGCTGGCTACACGCCAAGCAACCTCGGGTTTCCAACCTTAGACATAGCAGGAGTCCCACTGTTCTCGCTTTAAGCAGTAGGCGTCCCTCCCTTATTGTTCCCTGAAGATGGTGAGTTCACTTTCCTCCTCAACATACAACCAGCACGTGCCCCGTTGCGCTCACCTTGAGATAGTAGGTGCCTTCGGGTTTCTTGAGCGCGCTCGCCACGAATCCGAACTTGGACTTGGTCAGATCCAGCAGCTGCGCCAGCAGGTAGTCGCCCACCTTGCTGCCGTTGGGGGACTGCCCAGTGGGGGAGAAGCGGGCGGAGTGAGCCAGGGTGAGTGCGCGTAGGGTGGGAGGGGGGAGGTTGTGGGGGGGAGGGGGGGGGGAAGAGGAAGCTGCACCAGCAGGTAATCGCCCACCTTGCTACCGTTGGGGGACTGCCCAGTGGGGGAGAAGCGGGCGGAGTGAGCCAGGTGAGTGCGCGTAGGGTGGGAGGGGGGGAGGTTGTGGGGGGGAGGGGGGGGGGGGAAGAGGAAGCTGCACCAGCAGGTAATCGCCCACCTTGCTACCGTTGGGGGACTGCCCAGTGGGGGAGAAGCGGGCGGAGTGAGCCAGGTGAGTGCGCGTAGGGTGGGAGGGGGGAGGTTGTGGGGGGAGGGGGGGGTGGAAGAGGAAGCTGCACCAGCAGGTAATCGCCCACCTTGCTACCGTTGGGGGACTGCGGGAGGGAGTGGGCTGGGTGGGGGTGGGGAGTGGGGGGGAGGATGAGTAAACGCACAGGAGAAAGGAAAGGGAAGATCCAACACCCGAGTCTAGGGGAAGGGAAGGGCGCGGATGGTAAGGCCGGGGAGTGGTCGGCGGGAGAGGAGCGGGAGCACGGCAGACCAGGCGAGCATTTCCGCGATCACCAAAACCTAATATTTGTCAACGCGTTTCGTTTCACCGCAAGCCGTGCCTTTCCGCGTACCTGGTACCCCCACGCCTGCCTCCCTCCCTCCGCCTTCCGCGCTCCCCCCACCCCCCTCCCCCCTTTTTCCCCCTTCCCCTCAACCTGGTGATGATTGCGCGATCATGGCGAGGTCTAAAAGCGCGCCCGTACCCCATGCCTGCCCCACGCGCCCATATGCGTTCCTTTCCCTCCCCTCAGCCTCCCCTGATCCCTCCCTGCCCTTGGCTCACCTGGTCATTGGGGTCAGAATCTGTGTGTAATGAGTCGATCTTTTAGTCGACTCAAAAATCGACTCATTACACTTGGGTTCGGAATCTCCGATGAGCTCCCGCCCATGCGCTGCCTAAAAGCGCACCTTTTCCCACGTGCCTGCCTCCCTCCCCCTTCCCCCCTTTCTTCCCCCCCCCCTTCCCCCCCCCCCAGCGCGCTCACCTGGTCTTTGGAGAAGAGGTCGTGCGCCTTGGCGATGATGGTCAGCAGCTAGCGGGCTGAGAATCTCGCCTACGCGGTTCCTACAGCCACGCCCTTACCTTGCCCACGTGCCTGTCTCCCCTCCGGCTTCCCTCGTTTCTGCTTCCTTCCCCCCCCCCCCCCCCCCCGCTCACCTGGTCTTTGGAGAAGAGGTCGTGCGCCTTGGTGATGATGGTCAGCAGCTTGCGGTTCAGAATCTCCGACGGGCTCACGGCCCATGCGCCCCACGCCCGACATCCCGCGTTCGAGAACCCCGCGTTCGAAAAACCCGCCCATCGAAAACCCCGCGTTCGAGAACCCGCTGCCTCCGCCTAGCCCGCGCCAGCCGCGGCTACCATGGCGGAAGCGGAAACTCCGCCGAATCTATCCATTCCCACCCCTCCGCCATACCCGCCGCCCCCGCCGCCGCCGCCTCCGCCGATCATCGATTCCACACAACTATAGGCCGGTCGGAGCCATGGCGGAAGCTTGTTGCAGGCCTCCGCTGCCCGAAACCCCCCCCCAAGCCCCCCGCGTTTCCGCCCATCCCCGCGAGATGCGGGCACGCCATGGGCCCGAGCTCCGAGTTTCGCGCCGTGCATGCCGTGCGCGTCCGCGTGGCAGTTGGGCCCGCATCCCGCGCCGTGGTTGCCGGCGCGCCAAACACGTCGCGCGGCTGGATATGGCCGAGCGGGCCGCTAGAGGGCAGCTCCGCATCGTTCTCCCGCGCGCGGGGAAGGTTCAGTGACCGCCGCCGGGAGGACGTCGACGCGCTGGTCGCTGGACGTCAGCCGAACGGCGAGGCCGGTCCGAGCTGCCGGCCGTGCCGCCCACGCCGGCTCCGCCGCCGATGCCGATGCCCTCGCGCGACGACTGCGAGCGGCGCCGGTCGAGAGCGGCCCGAGCACGTCCTCGTTTGCGCCCGCGACGCGGCCGCTGGTGCTGCGCGCCTTGAGCTGCGCGAAGAGGCGCTGCGTGGCGGGCAGCGAGACGGCGGGAGGCGCGGAGGGGGAAGGCTCCCCGCAGTGCTCACACCTGGAGGGGAGGGCGCGGATGGGGGCGCGAACGGCAGAATGGCGAGGAGATAAGGGTGGGTACGGCGGAATGGCTCGCGGTGTCGTTCGAGTCGATTCGCGACGCATAGCACAGAAGGATGGGTATATTCTGCATTAGATTAGTTGATTAGGTTTCGTTTTGCAGTCCCTTTCTATTCACAAAAGCAGGCCCCGACTTTGCAGTTTCTGCGGCTACTGCGGGGGCTTTACGAACGTGCCATGACTCGGCGATGGGCTATCGCGAGACACAAGCGGTCCTTGGAATCAATGCGGTCGCTCGTCGCGATCACTGCTGACTCACCTGCTGGAAGCCGACTCGAGCGCGTTCACGATCTCCAGCCAATCAGACTTCACCAGCTTCACCGACACCATTTCCGCGCCGCCCGCGCCGCCCGCGCCGGTCGCGCCCAGGCGGCCGGTCGTCGTCCGCGCCGTCGAGCGACGTGCGCGACGTGCTGTGCTTCAGCCCGCGCTGCTGCTGGAGCTGCTGCTGCTGGTGTGGGTGTTGGTGCGGGTGTTGCGGCGACGCGCCGTGCACCGCGTGATGCGACGACTGTTGGTGGTGAGGGGACGCCTGGTGGTGCGGCGACGGCTGGAAAGGAGAGGACTGCTCGTGGTGCGGCTGCGGCGACGTGTACCCGCGGTCCGGTAGGCTCGCGCGGCGGCCGAGCGGCGGCGGGTGGTTGGCCCATGGCGGCGCGCAGGGCTGGTCGTCGTGGTGGTGCTCCTGGCCGGGCGACCGATGGCTGTGCGACGTCGAGAACATGCGCTGCCATCGCTTCGCTAGCGTCGGCGCCATGGCGACGCTAGGTCATGCGACGGGAAGGGAGTGGGGGAGTGGAAGCAGTCGACCCCGGCAGTGACAGCGCTGGGACGTGAGCTAGGGCGGTCGACTCGTCGGCCGCCACTCGCGGACGAATGGTAACAGCTTTCTTACGGAAAAAAATGCGTGGCCCAAACTTCTAATGGAGCCTCTATCACAGGAGGTGCTATGGAGGCCTGTTAGGCCAGAGAACACAAGTGACGATTGTGTTCAATGAGATCTCGACTTCCCTGCAAGGGCTACCGTCTGCTGCTGCTCCCTTGCTTCATCAATTTCCTCAGAGTTGTCCTCCTCTCCATCCCTCCTCTCCTCTCCCTCGCTTCTTTTCCCCCCTCTGTGCTGCTGCTCTCTCCCACGGTCTCTTTTCTCTTTTCTGCCCTCTCATCGCCAACTCGACACGGCGGGCGACGCCCAGCCACAAGGAGATTCATTCCGCTTGTCGTTTCGCCAACTTATGATGCTCGTCCATCCGCGCGACGCGAAAATGCTGCCCTAAAGGTTCCTGTCCGCGTCAGCACCACCAGATATGGTCGACTGTGCACCTGACGACTGCAGCGACAAAATGCAACGCAAGGCCAGGAGTTGCTGTTCGGGCAGCTTGCCTACCAACCATTGGCCGTGAGATTCTGTGTGCGGTACATTATGATCGGGCTGATGAATCCAGATGCATGGAGTTTGTCCCCCTTCCACCCTTGCTAAAAACTTCAAGCCTCGTGCCAAAATGCATTAACTCTCACTGAGAGCAATTTGGTGTGATTGCTTTCTGTCATTTCAATTGAAGGGCAAATCCGAATGGAGTTCTGGCATCAGATAAAAACTTTGGCAAAAGCCACTTCCGCTTGGAGCTTGACAGAGATATCTCGGACTTGCACCAATAGCATGCGCTTCAGTCCTGGCTGATCAAACCTGAATGATTACGGGCAGTAATTGGGCTTACAGCATTCAAACAAGACTCGTCGTGGTGAATTGCTTTTAATACAGTGGTCTATCTTCAAGGGGTACAAAAGGTTTGTATTAGATTGGCTTCATCAAAGTAATGCTCTAAGTTTAGCAATAGTTTACATATATACAATGTCGTGGTACATCGTCAAAACTACGATTAGTATTAGTTGAAATTGCACAAACAAGAAGTATGTGGGCTGGAAGGACGAAGTTGTTGAGCATGAGCATTAAGAATTGAATGGATCGAGACAGAGTGATGCGGGCTTTGAGAAAGAGCACATGGCAACTACATAACGTAAGCGGTGCACCACGAAGATACGAGAGGGGGGAGGGGGGAGGGGGAGGGGGAGGGGGGTGTCAAATATATTTGTATATGTTTAGTAGACTACATAGGGTCTTTGCCATAGAGAGTACAACCCACTAGCTATATACCCCTGTATACTCGCAGTCTAGTCAACACTTCTAACTCTGAGATGGTATCATGAGTAGGTTAGGTCCCCCCGCCCACCCGCGCTTCCGCCTTAGGTCTTACCCTGCCCCGTCGCCTAGCGCCTAGCCACCCCAAGGGCCCCACTGCCCCGTTGCCTTGCTGGCCCCGCGGCCCCACTCCCTAGCGCCTAGCCGCCCATGGCCCCGTCGCCCCCTCACCCCAGCGCCTAGCCGCCCCGCTGGCCCCGCGGCCCCGTCATCTAGCACCTAGCTGCCCGTGGCCCCGTTGCCCCACCACCTAGCCTAGCCGCCCGCTGGACCCGCTGCCCTGTCACCTAGCGCCTAGCCCCCGCGGCCCCGTCACCTAGCGCCTAGCCGCCTCGCGGCCTCGTCGCCCCGCTGCTTCGTGGCCCCGTCACCCAGCCGCGCCGCGAACCCGTCGCCCCGCTGCTCCGCGGCCCCATCGCCCAGCCGCCCGCGGCCCCGTCTCCCAGCTGCTCAGCCGTAGTGTTTCCCGGTCCCCGCCGCGTTCACCGGCCCTCCCCACCGTCCTGCGCAACGCCCCACCGTGCTGCACCGCTCAGCACCGCACTGCACCACGCCCCCACCGCACAGCACTGCGCCCCACCTCACTGTATCACACTGCATCATGCCCCACCACACTGCACCGCTCTGTACCGTATGGCACCATACTGCACGGGCCCACCGCACTCTATTGCACTGCACCGTACATTACTCATCCCCACTCCTCCTCGTCGCTCCGTCCCGCCTCACGCCTGTTCGCGGCTGCAGCGGCCTCCATGACGCACACGGTGCTGCGCTTTGACGCGGATGGTCAGCCGGTTGAGTTCGACTCATGGCTCGTCGACCTTTGCAGTCACCTCACTGGTCAGCGGCAGGACGGCCATTGTGAGAGTACGACCCCGTTACACCACTTGGCCTTTTCTTATTTCCTTCCCTTTTCATTTCTCTTTTATCTCATCTCATTTGGTTTCCTATTCTTCCTCTTCCATTAACCTTTGGTTTATCCTGCTATTATAATTATATCACCGACCAGGCTTGGGATGTACTGGTGCGCTATATCTAGCGTAATCCTGCCGTAATCCCTTAAAGCCAATAGCCTCGCGTGGCTATACGCAGGGTGATTCTATCTTCTAGAAGGGTCTATTCCCTTAGGATAAGATAAACCTGGTTACCTGATGTACTCTGGAAGTATAAAAGCGCCTTGTACTGATCGATAGTGCAACCTTTCCTCGACACATTCGATCCTGTGACACTTGGTAATCAGAGCTTTTCTCACTCGACCGCGCTCAGCTAAGCAGCAGCAGCGGGGATCCTGCCTCGAAAAACCGCCGGGGGCGACCAATTCGACGCCGATTCTGGTAAGCACCAGCTCCGCGATTTTCGAATTACCCCCTCCGTGCGTGTTTTGAACAGGATGGCAACCTTCGACAACGCCGAGGTTACCCAGCAGCTCTTCGCGCGCATCGCAGCCCTTCAGGAGGAAATGCGAGCGGATCGCGAAGCGTGGCGAAACCAGTTCGAGCGAGTAACTCGACTCGCCGGAGCGCAGCACGAGACGACAACGGCGACGACGCAGCAGTCGCAGCAGTTTCTCGAGGCTCCGAAACCGCGCCCACCTGAGCCGTTCGATCCGAGCGATCGAAACTCCGACGCCCGCAGATGGATCGCCGGGATGGAGATCTACTTCGCAGCCGTCGGATGGAGCTCGCCAGTCTGGGACGGTCAACGTGTACGACTCGCGGCGACACTGATGCGAGGGCCGGCACTCGAGTGGATTGGCGGCAACAGTACTTTCATCCACGGTGAAGCCACGTGCAGCAGTTCCGCGCCGACCTGCTGAAACGCTTCGAACCGATAAATTCGAGTTTCCTTGCCCGGGAAAAAATTCATCGACACCGGCAGTTCGGGAGTGTAGCGCAGTACACGCAGCAGATGGAGGAATTTTATAACCGCATTCCCGACCTGACCGAAGGGGAAAAAGTACAATCGTACCTCGCCGGGCTGAAGACCGAAGTCAAACGACAAGTCGCAGCGTCAAACTACGCGAGCTACAGTGACGTCGTTTCGGCAGCGGAGCGCTTCGACATGGTCAACGCCGGAACACGACGGACGCACGTCGGCAGTACGCGACAGGGGCGACCGCTCGGCTCACCCCACGTTCGCCGACCCGATGGAAGTCGACAGATTCGAGGGGCGGCCACGTCCGAAAAACACCAACTACACGTGTGATTTTTGCGGGGTGCCGGGCCACCGAATCTTCGACTGCAACAAAATGAAGGTCGACGCGCCGAGTATCGGCACGCAACAGTGCGGAAATCTTTCGGCCAATCAGAAGACAAAAAACGGGAGTCGCCAGTGATTGCGGATCTAGCTGGCGAAAATAAAAAGATCCGAAAGCGGCCGCGGGATTCCGGGAAAATCAACTTCGACGAAGCTGATTCGACGCGAGAAGGAGGAAATGATGGGGGAAAATCTCCACCCCACGACCAGTCTTCGCCAGGGAAAATCGCCGAGGAAAAATACGACTCCGCGAAAAAAGACTCTGCCGAGACAGGGAAACTCCTTGAAGACCCAAGAAATTATAAGAATTCGTTAAAGTTATCTTATAAAGATGCTTTAATGAAAACTTATGATGTTCGAGGGGCTAGAGCCTTGGAGAAATTTCGGGAGGGACTCCAAAAGAAGCAGACAGCTGTGGAGTTTATACCGGTACCGGACAACCTGGGGACCAAGTTAAGGAGTGTGGAAAGAAGCCGACCTTTCCACGGAGTCAACGTCCTCTCCCGACACCAGCCCACAACGACTACCCGCTCCCCAGGGAAGACGTCGGTGGAGCTGAAGCAGCTCAAGAGGAAGCTGGGGGTCTACAAGAAGCTGCACAAACCCCGAACTCCTCCTACGGATGCATCCAGTTCTTCGGCATCAGTGACGCGCACAGTCGTCAAGGAAACTCCGGGCCCTGGAGAAGAGCCGTTCTCCAAGCAGCCTCGGCCAGCTGCCAGCTCAGGAGTAGACAGCAACACAAAGGTGTGTACGGAGTATTGGGATGTACCCTATGACCCAATCAATGAAACTATCTTTGGGTACTCCGAGCAACGACTGCCCCTCGTGCTCGAGGTCATCTGCAAAGGACGACGCCTCCAAGCACTCGTGGACAGCGGAGCGTCACACACCGATGCGACAAGGCAGTGATCGACCGACTTTGGAAAGAGTACAAGCCTTCAGGATTCTCTGCAACGATGGTGGACGGCAGCAAGTTACCAGTACACGGCGAAGCAGTGCTACACCTACAAATTGGACCACTGCGCTGGAGACCTGCACTCCCCATCACCAACATCAAAGGGCTTGACTTGATCTTCGGGCGAGACTTCCTGAAAAGATTCAACCCCGAGATCAACTGGGTGAACCGCACCGCAAGCATCTACAACAATGGACGGAGAGTACAGCTACCCAACTGGGACGATACTGGAGATATCCCAGTGGAGACACTCGCACGATTCGAGAAGGATGTGAAGCGGACCGACACCGGGTTCCTGGCGATAGCAACAGAGGTGGAGAATGACGGAGAGAAAGCCTCGGAACCTCCAGAAAAAATCAAGGAATTATTGAAGGAGTTCCAAGACATTCTTCCTGACGATCTTCCGAACGAGCTACCGCCATACCGAACGCATCAACACGAGATCGTGGAGGAACCGGGTTCGAAACCGACCTTCCGAGCACCATACCGGCTCAGCCCTACGGAGCTGACTGACATGAAAAAACAGATCGAGTATCTCCTAGCCAAAGGACTCATCCGGCCATCCACCTCGCCATACGGTGCCCCAGTACTCTTCACACCGAAACC